GCAATAAAGCTCCGTGTAAAATGAAAGCTACCCAGCTGTATGAGAGGAAAAGTCCTATTATTCCCATGTTTGCTTGACACCAGTCAGGGTCACAGAATTATTGGAGTTGACCTACGTTTGTCTCATCTTCAACTAAATTGCCTTGGCCAGCATACTCTGCTACTGTCTTTAATGTGGAAAGCGCTGGTTTGTATTCAGAGGCAGGCTCTGGATTCTCTTCAGCAAACCAATATTTACTAAACCCCACTAGTTTTACGTCCTATAGCAGCTATCATGTATCTGGAAACAAAGCTTTGGTGTTTGTTTTGTTTTTCATACTCTCATGTAGGAATCTGATTATGGTGGTTAATTGATTTTCTTTCTGCAACCCAGTACTTTTGGTCACCAATACTACACTGATGGCAAGGATTCTAGGCAGATGCTGAAATTCTATTGCGTGAGGAAATACTATAAAGTATATTACCAAATCAACAAATGCATTCTACAACATGTTTGCTTCAGTTACTTCATCCTCCATCAGCCTGACTGATGAATTCAAACACAACTTTTAATAGGATGTCACTCCTGGTTTTATGACTGTCACTTTCCATAATTGAAGTGGTAGACTAAAAAGTTCCCATACTTGAGTGCTGACCTCTTGCTGGATTGCTGTGTGAGGAGCTGGAACACTCTGGAAAGATCACAGGGCTGACACTCAGCACATGTGGAACACAGCTTCACTCTCATAGCCACTGGGAAAGGCCAGGGCATTATCCTGCCTCTTGAGCCTCTGCTGTCTCACTTGTGAAATGAAGGGGTTAGATTAGTGGATTGTTAAAGTCACTTGAAAAGCTCTCATGTGATTTGGGCTATGAAGATGGCTCAGTAAGTAAGAGAACTTGCTCCATACACATGAAGACCAAGAGTTGAGTTCCAATCTCCTGGATCTACTTAAAATATTGGGCATTGCTGTCCCTGTAACTGAAATCCCAGCACTGTTCAGGGAGCAGTCAGGAGGCTCTCTGGGACTTGCTGGTCACCAACCTAGTAGAAAAACAACAAGTTCCAGGTTCAGTATGATAGAACAGGATGCTGGACATACTCTGGTTGCATGTGTGGTTATGTGCATAAATACACACACACACACACACACACACACACACACACACACCTTGTAATTCATGTGAAATGGATATGCCTATCAGCAATGTAGAATACTAGTTTTGAGCTATAACTGTGTCCCTTATTTTTGTTGAGTTTTTGTGTGTTATGTTCCAGGTGAGCCAGTCCCTTCCTAGCATGCCTACCTTAAAGGACTTCACTAGAGATTCAGAAAGACAGACCCTGGGAACTTAAATGCTTTGGATAATAACACAGTGAAAGATGTGTTAAATAGTAATGACGTTACTCCTGTGGAAAGTTAGCTGAAAGGTGTTGGGTTTCTCCCTATCCAGCCATGCCACCCCTCCAAAAAAAAGAGCCAAGTTAAAAAGACAGTTTGATCCCAGACTTTATGGAACTCCTAGGAACTCTGCAGGGTCAATAGCAGCTTTGTCCTGCTGTGGGTCAGGTTCCCACAGTTGGGGTAGGGCAGCCATGCGCTTTCCACTGACATTTTATCAAACACACAGAATGTGGCAGTTCTTTAGACAAACATATGGTTTTGTGTTACAATAGGTTCCACTTTGTTAAAAACCCCTCAGAATCAGAGATCTTCAGTGTGGGGCAGCAGACACTAGACACACACGTGTCCCCAGGTTCACAGATGCCTTATATGTTTACGTGAATAAACCATCCCCCAAGTTTGTGTCTGGCATCTGAGTTGATCTCTCAGTGAGGGTATTTTTTAACTCCTCCTTTACTCTTCGGAGTTCCTTTAAAGAAGTGTGATCCAAAAGGGTCAGGTACTTGGCTTGTACCTAGGGGAAAACTTTGAGAGAATTCCTGAGGCCCCGGAGTGGGACTTGCTTTCTCCAAAAGAACTGGCCCTTCCCAGCGTCTTTGCCACATAAGGGCTTGTGTGAGGCACCAGTTGACGGCTGTCTTACCCGTGACAGATGGTCAAGACTTCAATTTCAGCAAGTGATCTGCTGCTGAAGGGGTGGGCGGGGGATTCTGCCAGCAGGCCAAGTGGCAGGGCAGCTTAGGGTAACAGCGATCTGGTGTGTGCCCGGCATAGCTTTAACAGCAATCCGGTGTGTGCCCGACATAGCTTTAACGGCAATCCGGTGTGTGCCCGACATAGCTTTAAAGGCGATCTGATGTGTGCCCGGTGTAAGTTTTGTGCTAACGATGACCTGCTGACAGGCGCACCAGCGCGACTCATCTTTGAGGCACGGAATCCCTGGCTCCCTTGGTTTTTTTTTTTTTTTTTTTTTTTCTTTCTGGCAAAGCCAGTGTCCTGTTTGCCTGTCTTTCAAACCCATTTTGGCACCAGATGGAACCCCTCACGGTGGCTAGCAGTTGTCTGACTTGAGGATGCCAGAGGGTGTGCTGACAGCTCCTTCTAACACAACCTGAATCTGGCTGTCAGGCCTGGACTCAAATGGCTTAAACACGTACAGGCGGCAAGTATTATCAACCACGGGGAGACAGGCAGGGGGGCTCACTGGGGGGAGGTCGGTGGTGATAGCCCTCCCTAGCTTGGTGCTGCCCTTGGAGGGGGATAATGACCCTGTGGTTTTCCCTAGTAAAACCACTATTCTTACTCAGTATTATTCATTTTCCATCAGTGGAATAATGAATATTAATATCTTCATTGCACTTCTATCAGTATAGACACTATCTCTGTGTGCTGGTTCAGAGCCCCATCTCTGGGACCACTCTCTCAGAAGTGAGTTCTAGATCCCCACTTACTTTAGGACAAGCAATTGGATGTATCTGATTCTGAGTGGCTTTCTGGATTATACAGGGTAGGCAGCAGGGGTTATTTAGGAGAATGGAAACGAGGAATATGTTTAAAGTACTCAGATATCTGCTACTGTCATTCCTATCCTCCTGAGCTGCCTTGGGCACTACCTCAACTTTTCTCATCTATAAAATGGGCACAAGGAGAGCATGTACCTTGCAAAGAAGTTGTGCAATGTAAGGTACATGCTTTCATTGTGAGAAAAGTTGAGGCCCAGCCTCTCATACAAACTTATGGGTAGTACTTGACTAAGGTTTGAATGAGAATCCCATACTGGGTATTTTTTTTTTTTAGAAAGGCAATGGCTTTTACATCTTACAGCACCACACCACACAAACGTTCATTATCTTTAGAATGGGGATCATCCCTCCCTGGACCCTGGGATGGCTTTAATATATACTCTAAGTCTAGAACACAGCCCCAGCAGTATGGGGGACTCATTACCACTGCCTGCAGATGTCTGCTAATGTCTGAAAGCCACATGTACTGCTTGAGTCACCTTCTGAGGCTCAGCAAAAATGCCCTGCTGAAAGAGGACTGAGTGACAGAGTGGCTGGATAGCTAACATGTGTAGCAGCAGAGCTGTTTTGGGTACAGAGGAGGTCCAGGGTTGATTCTGTTACACACAGCTGGACTTTAGCAGTGTTCTGTGAGTCATTCATCCTAGACAGAAGGTCAATAAGCGCTGGCCTCTGTGGAGAGGCCCTGGATGTAGGGGTGAACTGTTATCAGAGGCTGCCTCATTGATGAGGTTTGAGGGTTGTGTAATGTTAAATGACTTCATTTAAGAAGACTCTGACATTATAAAATCTTATCATTTTGTTTGAAAAAGTCATTGTTTCTCTTCAATGATCCCATTTATTCCCACCCTGGAAGATTCTCAGGGGCCAGGGAGAGCAGATATTGTTCTGGAATTTGTATGCAGAAGCTGTCTGAACGTGGTGTGTCTTCAAGTAGTGCCTTTATGATAGAGGTTTGTGCTCATGGGGCTACACTGCTGACAATGTACTCAAAGCTAAGTTCAGACGGCGCCATCATGGAATGCTAGTTTTGCATACGTTATTTACATTGAGTTGACGATTTTATTCTGGTGTAGCTCTAAAGTGGGGCAAAAGGTAAAGAAAATGGTTTTTCTAGAAGAACGTCATCAACTGGTATATTAATACATTCCTTCAGTACATCTATACAGGCCCCAAAGTTTAAAAAAAATTGTAGAAAATAGGTGGACCTAAAACTCTTCTATTTTTCCCAAATAGAAAACAGGAGGGGTTTAACTGAGGGTGATCAGTATGGATACCCTAGCACAAAACTCTACACACCTACTGTCTTTCTGGACGAGCTCCAATAATTGCAGGAGTTACTTAGCTTGACCAAGTCCTGTGTCACACACATCAGGACATTCTTGAAATTTAAAATAGATTTACCAACATAGGTGATTTCTCTAGCCAATTGGAGACTGGCCACCTATCCACATAAAACCTGTGATTCTCACTATAAAGCTTACTCAGAAGCTAAGGTGGGCAGAGAGGCAGGAAGGTCCAAGCTCAATCACAGTTAGCTTTTGTTTAAGGCAATGATCTAGAGGTATTGGAGAAGTGTGACTCCTACCACTTCTCCCAGGGCTGCTAATCTGAACATTTTATTTGAAGATACTTAAGATTCAAAGTATTTACTATCTCCTTGCACTTATCCAATATAAACATTGCCATTCATCATCTGTAAACTTATAACACTTAAATGATATATTATGCTTGAGGACCATGGGAACTTTAATTAGATCCATTTGGAACCTATGTTAAACTATGATGATGGTTTTCTCTCTGAATAAAAACTCCCTGGAGGTTTAATTTGTGTGTGTGTGTGTGTGTGTGTGTGTGTGTGTGTGTGTGTGTGTGTGTGTGATCTGTTGGCAGTACCAAAAGTGTTCCTTTCAGAAAGAAAATCCACCTGGTGTGTAGTATGAAGACCCAGGCCTTGTGTATAATACTGATTCCAATACCACTATGAGTATTACAGGAGCTGCAGGAAGAAAAGAGAACATGTCAGCTGATTTCTGACAGCAACACCCTTGTTAGGATTGAAATGCTAACTATGATCATTTGTTTCTCCACAGATTCTTCCTGAAGTTTTTCCTTAAATGCAACCAAAATTGCCTAAAGAATGCAGGAAACCCACGTGACATGCGGAGATTCCAGGTGGGTGTCGCTCTTGCTTTCCTTAAGTTTTAATAATGACTTGAATGTCAAGAGATGATGGGAAAACATTTTTTGGCAGAAGACATGGAATCTAATTGTTTCTCTGGATGTGAAGAGCAGGTGAGGCCACTGGTCCCCAGGCATCTGCAATCTAGGAGTTGTTTTTGTTAGACAAGACTTGTGGCTACACCACCTGTGCCCACTGATGAAGGCAGCTGTGTCCTTAGAGCCTCATTTTGGCTTCCTGTGTGGGCCCACGTGATGAGGCAGCCACAGATTAAGTCAATTACACAGAAACCATGGCTTTCTTCTCTAAAATTGCTCTAAGTAGAACCTCCCTGGATAAGAGTAGGGAACGAAACCAGGAAGTTCATTCTTGCCTTCTGTTCTCCTCTCCCACAATTTCAGCAGTTTGTAGTACCAATTGCTGATTATAAGTGGACCTCTTAAGAAGCAGAACATGTCTATACCCTCTGTTCTGCTTCAGGGATGCTCCTGTACCCCACATGTTAAGTATTACCAAATATCTTCCAGGTTTGCCACCATCCAAAGCATATGAGTCTGATAGAATTATACAGGTGTTAAAAGGCTGAAAACTTAAAAACAAATGGGTCTAACCTAAAATGCAGGTGCCTTAGGAATTCTGCTGCAGCTTCACATGCTGAGAATCCCTTAGGACCTTGTTAAAGTACTGATTGAGATGCGGGTGGGGCTGGGATGCTATGTTTCTAACAAGCTCCCAGGTGCTGTAGAACCAGGGAACCCATCTCAGGTAGTAAAGTTGAGCCCCTTCCTTGCATTGCCCTCCATCTCATTTCATGGATAAGTTACTTGTTGTGTCAATGTTGAAGCATGCTTACACAACCTGTCAGGGAGACAGCTTGGGGTTGGAAGTTCGCTCCCACGCCTGTTTAGTCAGCTCAAAGTGTAGTTTTCAGTATCTGAGATCCAAGAAGTGCTGGGGAAATTTTAGCTGCACATTCTCTGAGGAGAAATAAGGAAAGAGATTTGAGCATTGACTGTGGATGTCAATATCACAGTCTTCAAAATGAATAAAAAAAAAAAGAAGCAAGACTTATTAGTCTCATTAAGAACAAATCCATTGGAAGGATGGTATTGTCTCCTGAGATCTTAGAGAATTTCTATAACATCATCTTAGCCTTACCACTTTCTGTCTTGATAGAGAGGAATTTGGGAGAATCCAATAAAGTCTTAATTTCTTAGAAACTATTTCCTGGCAAGTTCCTGCTTTCAAATTGGGATGCTACTGTTTTTTTTTTTTAAAGTGTCTTGCAACATGTGTGAGTGGGTTTTTAGTATGTGCTATTTAATAGCTTGCTGTGTTTTTTTGGATGAACTATGTATCTCTTTTGGTCAAGCTTGGGTTAGGAACAAAGATACACAGACATGAAACAATTTATGTGTAATAATAACCAAGCTTCATGACTTTGCCAGCATCAACTGTGCTATATCCCTCAGGGCAGTAGAATTGGGATGGACTCTGATGACACCAGGGACCTCAAAGAACATTTATGTATAGTCTTACAGGACCTACTAATGAGTTGTGGGTTGTAGAAATACAGCTCTGAGGCAAGGCAGGAAGTCATTTCATTACATTCTTCTTGAGCATAGGAAAAAAGGCCACAATTTACTTATAAGGTAGTATATAAGTGATAAATTTAAGCTTTTAGAGAAAATTTTTGTGATGAATCCAATTAAGTCCTTAGTTTAGTCTGGGGTTTCTCAACTTGGGCACAATGGATTTTTTAGACTGGATGACTGTGTGTGTGTGTGTGTGTGTGTGTGTGTGTGTGTGTGTGTGTGTGTGTGTGTGCGTGCGTGCGTGTGTGCACGCGTGCACATGCGTGTAAGATGTTCAGTTGTATCACATATCTCTTTACACATGAAATAGCAATAGAACAGCTAATTTTCCTTAACATGACAACCGAAGAGTCTCTAGGATAGGGAGGATAAAGACAAAATGGCCCCTGATAGAAAGCTACTAGTTATGTCCTACACTTGATAACATTTGATTAAGCTTGTGGTGATAGTGTTAGTGCTGTAGAAACTACATCTTTTGATTAGGCACAATTGCCTCTGACCCAAGGGTCCATCCTGACCTTCAAAGACATATGATTGATGTGTTTTTGCCTTTTGCCACCCAAATAGATTCTAAAATAGAGCTTTCTCAAAAGGAATAGCTTACCTTGGCCAACAGAGAATCAAGCCCCTAGTTAAAAGAAGCTGTGCCTTTGTCAACCATGAAAGCTCCTTTATGGCTCTCAAGTTCAATTAACTGTTTTCCCACCACCCATTTTTTTGAGCAGTGAGCATTTAGGGTGAAGATCTCTGAAACCTGGAACGAATGTTCAGTTTAGCTGTCCAGATGCTTGATTGGACCTTAAGCCCATAAACCGAACACTGAGTTCATGTCCCCTGTCTCTCATTTTTTTCTCTCCTTGTCAAACTGGCCTCTCCTCCTTGTTTATTTCTAGCAAACTTCATTAAGTTCCAGGTAGATAACTGTACTAGTGTCTGTGTTCAGTGAATTCCATATTCATATGTGTAGACGCTATGTTTGTGTGTCTGCCTTTCCATACATCCAAGAACATTGGTGATAATGGTGGTGATAATGAAGCTGACATTTACTTTTATTTCATAAAAGATATTATATGAAATGCTTTACATGAATTATGGTGATTGCCACAGTATTCCTATTAAGTACATGCAAATATGATATATTCCCATTTTACCAATGGGGAAGTGAATTCATTCAAAATTACACTCCTACAAAGTGGAGGTTCAAATCTAGCACTGTGACTTTTATACTAGCTGATGCTTTGGGACAACAGAGAACTCCTCCAGAGTCTGTTGACAGTTACTTGTTGAATTAACAAGGAAATCTGATAACATTCAAGAGCCATAGTGATACCCTAGAAGCAAATGTTTGAATCACAGGATAGCTTAGAAAGGCTTCCCAAAGAGACTTCATGCATGAGGTTGAAACCCAACCCAAGTTTGTTAAATGACAAGGGAGCTTCCCTGGAAGGAAAGAGCAGTGTTTTTGAGGATGAGTTATACCCCCCGAGTGGTTTCTACTTATGGGAAATTTTTAGAAATGCTGAAGTGAGTGTAACTGTCTCCACCAATGGAGTTCGGACTCCCTTAAGAAATCACACTGAGGTTCCCAAATCTTAGAATCCAAAGGGAGACAGAGGGTGAGGGAGAGAGGGTGGGGGAGGGAGGGAGAGGAAGAGAGGGAAGGAGAGAGACAGGGACTGAGGAGTATGAGTACACTCCTGACATTGACTTAATGTCCTTTATAAACAAGGGACATGTCCATCTTTTGTTTTATAATACAGGAACTGAGACTCTGGTTTCATGTACTTTTTAATGTCCCTATTGTCCAGAAAAAGGACTGAGAAACTGTCTCATTGGTGTGGACAAACTCCTATCCCCTTTTTGCATTATCAGTGATGTTGAAAAGCTAAGTTCCAGAAAGTACTGATTAATTCACCCTTCATGGCCTATGAGGGAGGCAGCTCTCATCAGCTGTCCCTGCTGTGGCTTCTCCTTTGTCTCTTTTGTATGTTTCCCTGGTCAGCCCCATCTTCACACAGCCAGGCCAGTGTATGTCTCCTCAGAAGAGCAGTCAGGGGCCCATGTAGGTGACTGAGGAGGACATAAGACAGGTTGTTGATCTCCTGACGTGTAAAGACATTCTGTCAAGCAGACTCAGCCTCAGAGTGGCTGGGCTTGTGGTCTGTAAACAGAGACTTCTTAATTACACAGGTCATGTCAATTAGCATGACCCGAGAGTTCTCAAAAATTAATCACTTTCAGAAAAGCTTAGTCAGTTTGGCATAAACCTTGAGAAAACCTGCTACAATTCTCTCTCTCTCTCTCTCTCTCTCTCTCTCTCTCTCTCTCTCTCTCTCTCTCATAATAGATGTTTTCTTTTTGAAATCCCTAGGCCCTAGGCTGTGGTTAAGGTAACATATTTGCTTAAATACAACAGTGGATGCAGGCTTCATTTAGTGGTGGTGGCTATGGGGGAAGGGGAAAGGAGAGGGGCTTAGGAGCAGCCCATGACACAGGGAGCAATTCTGTGTGACTAAATGAGGCCATCTCTCTCTCTCTCTCTTGACAGTAAAAAGATGCTAATGTTAGGGACCACGTCAAAGCCATGTCACAGTCTGGTTTTTAACTGACAGGAGCCAGACAATTCACTGTTAAGATTTAAATCTTTAGCCACCCTTTTCCTTGTTGGGACTGGCAGATGAGAGCAGCGAAGGAGGAGCAAGAATTGGGCTAAAGTTGTCATCCTGGTAGAATCCATATGACCTGGTGACTGAAGTAACATATAAATTTACAAATTCATCTTCTCCCCTCAGCAAAGTTTTTTGATAGGCTATAACTCTGCATCTGTATATAAATGCTAGATCTATGACAACAGTATATATGAATATAGATGTAAGATATATTCTCTCATTCATGTGTGCAAGCACGCTGCAGTATTTATTAGAGCGCTAGATGGTAAGACTATAATGACGAATGCAAAAGACAGAGTCTTTGCTGTAATGAAACTGATATTTCAGTTGGGGGATATTTTAGGGCAAGAGTAGCTTCTGTAACACATAGATCAAATAATACCTAATGGCTCGCATATAGAGCAAAGAATATCTAAAATCTCACATACATGCTGGTGTTCCTTACTGCCTTGAAGAATAGATTTTTTTTTCTTTGAAATGATCTGGGAACCTGGAAACTCTTGATTTTATGCCTTCCTAATTAGGAAAATCCTTATTGTATTCATGGAGCCAGAAGAAAAAGATACTTCGTGGTGTCTTCAAATTCTTAGCTTGGAAATTGTTCTTGTTAAACCTGCTTACTTCCTATTGGTTAGTAGTCAGTCATATGGCCACTAAATAGTCACAGAGAGATATGACAATGATGAGTGATACAGCCCAGGAAGGATATATTTGTAAATAATTGGAAAA